AGGGAGTCCAGAATGCCTATAGAAGGTCAGCAACTCCTTTAGCCCAATACCGTGCACTGAATCCGGATCGATCAGTGCCGTTCCGAAGACTCCCAATCTTGCCCATGTCAAAGCAGCTGATGCTGATAATGTTGATAATACCAATAAAAATTCGCCCAAGATTTAAAATCTCGTATATAACCAATGACCTTGCAGCACTCAACAACCAATATGGCCGCTGACACGTCCATGGCTTTGGATGGACCATTTTTACAGTAGTTTTTGTGTTTAGAAGGAAAATGACGGAAAATGCAGATTTATGGGTGAAAGATCATTCCTATCACTCCGAAATTCACCTGAGCGACATCAATTTTTACCGTAGTAGGGCCACAATATTATCTAATAGCTATATGGCAATTCTTAATCGTAAACGTATGGGTAATATTAGAACATGTTTACCCAATTTCTCAACTTTTTTCTCTACTTTCTGGTGAGCTTACTTTTTGATTTAATTACATAATCTATTTTAGGAAATAAAAATACGTTTAAGAATGCGCAATAAAATTACTAATACGATTATGAATTAAAAATACGAAGTAGGCTAATACATAATTCTAAAAATTACCTTGTACAAAAGTAGCGCACGCGAACACAGAACACATTTGCTTGCAAAACCGCTCTCTCGAATGCGGTAAACTGACAAGTCAGACTTAACGAAAATATCGCCAATAATAATAGTCCGCAGGGTTAATTTCAATTTAGTTTTTAACACTGGTCAACTTACATATATACATTTTTGAGTCTCAAAATATTCTAATAAAAACAAAACTTTTATTATTGTTAAGTAAAGTAATTAAAACGTTGTAAAGGGTCGTACAATAATTTTCTGGAAATATTGTATAGACTTTGAGCACAAAATGGTGGTTGCTCGAAATATACGTGAATTGTAATTCCTTGACACACAATTTAGGACTAAATAAGTTCCATAGTCGGATTCAATTGTGTTTACTTATCATTTTGAATAATATTTACCAGGGCATATATTTATTTTCGGATCAGCATAATTACCTACGACTACTATTACTTTGTTTTTAATTGGTCGAATCAACTGAGGACATTCGCCCATTTCCAACATCCATCGAGGATTTTTTTCTTTTGGTGATAGATCAACACGTACACAAAGACTAAGTATAACCCCCGCTTGTACTCTGGTTGTAAAAAAGGACTTTGACCGATAACAAAAAACGGAAAGTCGGTTTTCCCCCACTTCCATCCGAGCCCATCCGGCCTTTAACCGGCGTGTACGTAAAAACCAGCGGTGCTGGCCACAGTCAAACACTTTAAGACGCATACGAAACACTTAGACAACTATCTGAACCGATAACAAAGCTTTTTGGACGAATACATAGGTTTCTGCCGGGCGCGACCAGAGGTTAAACAGCCATGTGCAATGCTCAAGACAGAATTCTTCTTCTTCTTTGCTTTTCCGTACCGTAGGAATGTCAACTGAGGACGTTCGCCCATTACCGAAAAAACAGAATCGATAAGCGCAGCCATGGCCATAGAACTGTCCTTACTTGTCGCAACAACCCTGTACAAATCGGCAACATCGCGCAGTGAATTTCCGCTGGAACATCGGCCGAGCCGAACATTGTTCCGAGGGAATTGTTTTCATCTAGCGTGCCGCGCGTGCACCGACTTGAAATAAAAAAGAAACGAACAAGGCTTTTCATCTCGTCGAAGCTGTATACTCGGTCGTAATACAACATATCAGTTATACGCCGGTTCCTTTTGAATAGAGGAGAATACGCGCAGAGGCGTGTGTAAGTAACGACTAGGTACGGCGAGCTGGCGGCGGCGGCGGCGGCACCGCGTGGCTTAGATGGAATATTTAGATTTCGTCGAGGATTATGACTCGGGAATGCGATTATGGCCGTTTGCCGCAATTCGTAACGACCGCTAGTAACGTATGGAAATTTTAGCTCGACTGTGTCGCGCTACAATAGAGCCATTTATTTAAATTTAATCGTTCGATCTACCGCGGTAGTTGCAAGATTCGTACTTCTTTCGGTTATGTTTAATACTGAGTCAAAAATTACGTTTGTTTCGTCAACTAACTAATGTGGGTGTTAACGATTACTAAAACCCAGATATGTATAAATGCCGTGCCAGTGCTTATAATATAGGAATTTTTGAGGAGAGGATGAAAAAAAAATTACGAAGGCACGTGATGAGGGCGCCATTTGCAATTTCGTTTTTAACCAATAAGGACCTAGCGGCGCAACCAAAATGGCCGCTGACAGTTCGTCAATTCGACAGGTTTTAGCTAAGATGTGGCATTTTTGGTATCTTCTCAATACGCCCAGTTCTCGATAAATGTTCTGGGCAAACCAGTTAATTTAGTAGAGATCGCGGTTTAAAACAAAGAAGGGCCAAAGTGTAGGTTAATGGGTGACATTTAGGGGCATAGCATCTCTAGGAAAATATCAGAGCTGTCCGAAGCTCGTCAGTTTTTACCACTACATTAGGGAATTATTTGAAGCGTGTGGCACATGATGTGACGTAACGTTTTATAAAGTTGAATGTTACCTACTGCAGAATAAGACCCCGGTTAATAAAGTTTAAAGCGTATGAATTAAAAAAAATAAATTTTTCTAGACATTTATAGTTTCCTTTTCGATTTTTCAAAAATAAGAATTATTGGAAAGCGAATGCAGTTTGGCGATAATGACCTAGTGTTGCTGCGAGAAGCCAAAATCCTAATGTGTGCAATATAATTATTTTCCTTTGCGATAAATGTTTTTTTTCTTTTAAAAAATGAAAGAAACCCAGACTTAATCTTAACATAACGTAACGTCAGCAAAAAAGAACATCCAAAAACTAAAAATGTTGAATTCAAAACCTCAGAAAAATTAGGTTATATCCCGTTAAAGACCAATAAAGTAACATAAGAGTGAAATTTCATACAGGTTGTTTGCTTAAAATATCGATGCGCTCCTTGTTTGATACTCCGCCTATTATCCCAGTTTTTGAATTTGTTATCATTAAATTGTAAATCAACATTATTGTAAATTGCAATACTTATATATAGTAAAGTCACTTTTACGGTGGACACGTCTTTGTTCTGTGTTCTAAGGTTCGTAATTGCAAAATAGAAGACATGTCCAAATAATCGTGTTTTATTTTACTAATTAGCTATAAGTAATAAATTTTAAATATAACATATGACCACTTCAAACACCGTGATATCGGATTTGATGTCCACGTCCAAACTGGTCGGAAATTTTCATTTTCCACGTACATAGATAAAGTGTAGGTTACAGATGCCTGCTTTTACGTCTATGTTATGTATTCTATCATTAGATTTAGAAAATTATATTTTCTAACAAAATTCTATATATTTTTATTAATTTGATAGGCTATATCACCAGTTAGTTACTGTTGGCTATCTTAAAATATATGTCCACGCCAATGCCATTTAACTTGAATATTAACAGTTACAAATATATATTTCCCTTAGGCCGAAGCAAGTTTTAGATACCTACCTTCTCGGAATTAAAACATAAAATCCCAGTCGTTATTGTTTGGATACTCAGTTTCAACAAAAGAACATTCTAACCAATTTAAATTGTCTGTAGGTACAGAAAAACTAAATATTTCTAACAATGCTGGACATTTGGGTCTGGTAAAGGACAATAGCAATAAAAAGGCAATTACTTATATATTAAACCTATATACATGACCAATATAATTGCTGTCTATGACAGTTTAAGTCTTGTAAAACGCATTCAGCGTATTCAGCGCATCACAGCAGGGCTAAGAAAATAGATAGGGAAAAAAGTTTTGCATAGTGTAATACATACATAATACATAATACATAAACTCTACCATACGTACACACTTTTATCCCAAAAAATACAATTGAGACATAATGCCTATAATGTAGATTTAAGGCATACGCAATATTATTTTAAAAGGTCTCGGTGGTCTGTTCTCTTTTTTAGAGTATACCTTTTATCTTTAAATATCTGACTTGTATTTTTTAAAATATCTTATAAGGTTTCTATGAGGTTAGGATATGTCAAAATAGGTTAAAATAGGAAGTTAAGTTTCAAATTCGCCTTCTGTGATTATATATTATAATAAAGTTAGTATTGCCATTATTATTATTATTAATCAAGTGCAAATCTTAATATTCGACATTCTTTTTGGACACGACCAGTCAAACCGTTCTAAGGACTATTAATATCATGTGCTATAAAAGAAAATTTTCCGCCTCCACATTTAACTCGTTATTTCAGAATATTTAACGAGATCTGAGTATATTTTGTCGTAAAAATACCGCATCCAAACTTATTGACGATCTGTCAGCGGCCATGTTGGTTAGTCGTAGCAACTGACTAAAAGCTCGAACTGTTAACCTGTAACGTTAGAAACTTTTGATTAAAATGTAATTAGGGTTATTCTTATTCTTGGCGATTTAATTTTTTACCAATTAAACCTATTCATTTAATTAAGTTGATCGCATCTGACAGACAGTTAAAATTCGAATGAAATTTTCCGGTGAGTAAATATTTTTTCGGGGCAACAAAAATACATCAAGGTCGCCCCACGAGGAGCGGCGAAAAAAAAACGATTCTTCCATAAGAAAGGGTGAGCCGGAGTGCTCTTTAGTTCAAATAAAACTCATTCAATCGTCTCATCCTCCCCTCCCTCCCCGCAGGTTTACCAGTCGCCGCCGCAGCGCGACGAACATAAAATCCTCGGATCGCGTTCGGCAAAGTTCGCCCGAAACCCGAATCGCCGAGTTCGTTGTATGGTAGACTGTGCCTTGTGGCTGCCGCTCGGCGCTCTCGTGAAAATAGAATGACCAAGCGAAGAGTGTTGTCGTGCCAATAACATTGGATATTTGTTTGTTTTTGCTGTGATTTTGTGTGTGTGCAAACGTCCCGGGTCTTTCTCGTTGCGGTATGTGTGATTGGTGATGTTGGTGCGCGTGTTTTTTGTGCGGATTTTGTGATTTACGGGTGATACTCGCCACACTACTACTACACATTTTACCTTGGATTAACTTTGGCTCTGGTCGTCGACGCGTACCACTGCAGTCAGTCACGGGGTGTATAGCGCAGGATATTGTACGATTTTCCCGATCGGACCAGCTGGTAAGTAATCGGTCGTCCGAAAACTGGACCCCAAACCACACCTAATAACGGCTTTCCGTGCAGTTAATTTCCGTTTTCAATCGGACATGAGAATGTCTAAATTTTTGTCCTCCGTGCCGATCGGCGTCTCTTTCTTTGCGTCTCGCTTTCTCTGTCGCAACGGTCGACAGCATTCCATCACAGTCCGACGGATTACCAGCGTGTATATCTAGCTCTGTCTGTCGACGAAAATGCCTTGCGTTACATTCGATCCTCGGGGAAGCCATTTTGTGATTGCGGCGGCACTATATCTCTCGCCGTTTTTATTTTGTCGATTTTTAGTTGCCGCATTATGGTTGATTTATTGGCCGCCTCGTTTAACACGGTGCCGGTCATTTAATTCATACTAATTCCGAGCAAACTAATCACGCAAACTCGGGCATCGTCTATTTGCTAAAGCGTCAAGATTGGCCGTTCGAACAATGAAGATTATTCGGGGAAGGGAATGGTTTCTTGGAGGAACTAGCGGCGTGCCACGTCTAAAATATGAATATTCGTTTTTTTTTTACATTGGAAAACAAGGAATAATTGTGGTGATGCATATTTACACCCTGCACACTCAATGATTACAATGCCACCTTTTATTCTCTTCCGCTTAGGTAATATACAAAAATGAGCGTTTCGTAACTTTCATGCTCGATTGCCTAATTAAATTGGAATTTAAGGGTTAAGATCATAATAATCGAACCTGCGTGTGTAGATTTTATCTTCGTTGTTTGCTCCTTATCAGCGAGTATTTCACACAAGATTATAACTTTCCGTCGCCTCTAATCAAATTGATGCACCAATATATTGTAAATATTGGTTATTCAAACGACGTAGATGTTATTACTGGAATCGTTAAATAATTGAGCTTTAATAAGGCTAACATCGTTGAAGTTAAGACACTCGAGCATTGACGCACAGTATACAATACGTCAGTACATTCACCAGATTTTGTTTTAAAATTCTTCAATCACACTCTCCAGGAGGTATCATAGTACGGGGTCACTCTGTATAGTTTGTCAATGCAAAATTCGCAGCATTTGATGTTCGTTGTTAAATCGAAAGAGTAATTATCTATGTTATATTAGGTATTAGGATACTTAGCAACGACGTTACACAAGATCTGCATTTAATTAACTACTTAATATTCGAATGTGATCGACGAGCTGTTTTGCCGACTCGATGGAGAATATCGCCAGCATTCCCACATTATCTCGCCAGCTAATAGACTGGAACAGGTTTTCGACTGCTTGTCAGAAATTGTATGGCAACCATTTTAATTCAATTTAATATATGTAGGAAGATCGAAAGGTATATAATACATGGTGATTCAGGAGAAAATGGCGATATTTTGCATGGGCACACACAGTTAAATATAGTATAATTTCTAATGCCGCCATTTTTGATTATCTTTGTATAAAGCACGTCAAACGTCGGGACACAGTGTGTCAGTGTGACACACAGACAACATAGTGATTGGTCAAGATGGCATTAACAACAACACTTCTCGCATGCAACATGCCCTGAAAGATTTTCAGAAAAAGTTGATGGCTGATCACTGCCCATATTTTATGAATGGAAGTTTGAATAAAATGGTATAATGAACCTGACGTCTAAAGTGGCATTTTGCGCAAAAGGCAGTTTTGCTTAAAGCAAATCATCTGGAAAATTACCTATATTTTGTATTTTCCATGGGTTTCATGTTGATAAAAATCAGTAGTAAAGCAGGAATTTGGCAACTAACCAATGTTATTAAACATTGAATGAATTGCGTGACGAAATGTGACCATTCGAGTCAAATATGTATTGTTGTTTCCCTAAAGTTAAACATTTAACAATATCTAGTCATATTTTGAGTAAATACGGCCTTAAAAATACCGCATCCAAACTTATTAACTATGCGTCAGCGGCCATGTTAGATGCAATGGCGAGATAAGTTCCTGTATTATCGACATACACAGTTCCTCCATGTCTCTAGTAACTATATGGCTTATAGTATAGAATAAACGACTTAATGATTTTTTTTTAACCGAAGCATCCTGGCAGTGTTGACTAACTACAATAATAATAAAAAAATGCATGTCCTTTGCAGTGATAGTAGTAGCAATATCGTACATACGGTTTGAGCGTGTAACAGTTGATTGTAAACTCGTGAACCGTATACAGGTTTCAGATAACGTATTGAACATGGCGTGTGTTCCCAGCTGTTTAACTTCCCAAATGTGGGGGGCGATTTGACACCGGTTGAACTACTACGTGTTTAGATAGGAGGGTCCCGGACTAGGTCCTGGACAATACCTCGCAGTATGTCGCTATTGTGGTTGAGTTTTTTAAATTATTAATTGTCGAATTCGTAGGGGTAACTAACTACTTACGTGCGAGTTATTTTTGTCATGGGCACTAGGGTTGCCAGTGAATCGCCTTTATATTGACAGTATGTAGAAAGCGGTAATCCTGCACTTTACGTATTAGTAGTAGTAGTCTCGGAAACTGTCTATTTCATGTGTCATGAAAATGTACAGTAATAAAATTCACATCTCAGTTTTTCTATTTCACTTTAAAAATGCATAAAACAACCATGATAGGTCACAAGCGAAATCAAATTTTCAACGACGTTGTTAACCAGATAATTACCCTAACGAAAATCTTATGGGTTAAAGAAAAACGGCGAGTTTTTTACTGGTAGTAGGAAAACAAAGTGTTTACTTTAGGTACATCTGTTGTTGGCGCTTCAAAATTACCATGAAAGCAGTATCACTTACGGACAGTAGTATAAAAAGTATAGCAGAAATTCTATTGTGACACATAAACGACAATCAAATTCTATTGGGTTTTGGCCAATATCCTTCACAAATGTCGCGGCAAAATGAAGCCCAATCCACAATAGTGTTAGTGCTATTGGGGCGTAATCTAGCCTCGTGTGCTATAAAGTTTTGAGGATGATCCATACTCCCATCAGCATTGAGATGGCTTCTGGCGAAAAAAGAATCTTTTCTGATGCTCTGCGCCCTCGTGCAGTCCACTTGTCTTGTAGGTCGGGCTAGAGTATTCAAAATTGTATTTTAAATATAATCTGAACCAAATAACTTAGATATTGCATGGGCAAATCACCATCGAAAATTCGTGCACCAGATTTTACACAACCAAAGGGTCGAAATTTTAAAAAGATAACGAAGATTTCACAGAGCTGGTACATCAGGTTTCACGCGTGATAATTTTTTTGAAAATCAAAGACCATAATTATGCACAAGTTTGCGAGTAGAATGAATGGAAAGAAGTAACGCGATCTAAGAAGTGATAATTGAATATTTGGAAACTGGAAATCTCGGTGTTAAAATTATCGTTAGTATTAAAAAAAAGTTTTGTAGGATTTCATTGTTAAAATTATCAGAACTAACCAAAGTGTGAATATTTCGATAATATTCAGATATAGACGGACATAAGACTGTAGGATCGTGTCTAGCGTTTTGTTTGACCACAGATAATCCAGAGAAAAGGATGTTATTTGCGCTCAACTTGGCTCGGCTACTATCATTCAGCACCACAGATTATAAAGATGTATTAACTGAATACATTGAATCCTTATTCTTCTTTGCTTTTAGTGGGCACCTCTACTCCATTGAATTCTCATGATTTTCGTCTATATCACTTCTTGTTATAACACTAGCACTATCGAAAATTGTGATTTATACCAGTTTTGGCGCCGTGTCGTTATTTCATAAAACATGCGATTTAATTTCAATTTGTGTAAAAGCCCTTGTAGAGTAGGATCAGATGATGCAACAAACGCCATAAATGTCTATCAACCAATTAGTATTGCGGTTGTTTGTTTACTAGGTAGTTTATAGTTATTTATTGTGTATCGATATGAAAATAATAACTATTTATATAAAATATATTACTGTTTAGGTAGGTATAGTTTAGTGAAAGTTTTATTGCGTTTACCGAGGTATGTAACGAAAAATGCAGTCCGTAATGCCACGCGTAATTACATTAAAACAAATTTATTGTTTTTGATAAATGAAGAAGAAAAATATATCTTTTAAATTCCTCCTCTTTTTTTCTAAGGAGATCGTAACATTAATTAATTATCAACAAATTAATAGAGCAAATCTGACAAACTAACACGTTTTAAAATAATTTGGCTCCATATTCCGTAATTTGATTGCCGTCGCAAAAATAATGTTCAGTTGCACAAAGATTAAATATTTAAACCTTGTCACACATTGTTATTGTTATCTGTGGTCTTTAATTTCGTACGTAATTCATTCAGATCGCATTTTTAAGCGACAGCGTTGGTTGCAAAATTAAATTTTGGATCACCGTTGAAAAAAATCTTTTTTTTTTAATTAAATTTACTGACATTAATTTTTGTTATCACAGATCAATGTTTTCCTTAAAAGGAAACAAGTTGCTATTTTCGTCGTGTTTTTTTTTCACCGTTCGCTTAATTTAATTTTTTCTCATTTTCTAACTTATTTTTAATTTTTATTTTCATTTAAATCTAAATCTTACATATTTTTTAACATACTGCATTCAAAACACTGTGTTAGCACCGAGGTTAGCACTTAATTAGTTTTAATTTGCTTACGTCACGCAGTTAACATTTCTACCAGTTCCTGTAGTACATATTTGTTTACTCTAAATCTAATTGAATTAATACTCTTAATACCTGTCTCCAACATACGCATTTTATTTTTTTGCGTTTTCAAATTTCTAGTAAAAATGTACTCAAACTGAAGTGCTACGTCGTGATAGATTATATATGCTCGGCTTGCTGATTAATTATGTCAAAAATAAAATTTGGCACGTTTCGAAATTGTGCGGTATGCTTGAATAAAATCGTTTGTTTGAAAAGAAACAGACGTCAATAAAATACAACTGACACCGTTTAAATATTTATAAGCGTGACGTTAAAACAAATAATTTCGATTACTCATATATGTGCGAAACATCGAAATGATTGCAAATGCAAC